TTTTAACTGTTAAATAAGAAATAGTTTGTTGCATGTATGTTTTATAAAATGTTTTCATTTTTCAAAACACGGTCAAGATATTGTGTCCATGTTCATAGTTAATATTATTAAGTGTTGGTTTTTTGCTTTTATTAATAAGGCTTCCGTTATTTTTAGCCTTTGTTGCATGTAGATGATGCTATTATATTAGTGTTGTCAACAAGTATGTTTCGAATAGTGTCCGGTAGGTCTCCATTAATATTTAAATGAGATCTAATTGAGCAATTGTCAGAAAGGTGTAGAGTGAGTCTGCGTGTCAAACATGTTGTAGTGTGGCCTATATAATTATTTACGAATTTTGATTGATCAGGAATACAATTCTTTAATGAGCATTTAAATTCGTAAATAATATTTGGCCTATTTAATTTCGCTAGGATAAAAAGAATATTCGGGCAGTTTCTATGTAATTTATCATCTGAAAAGAAAAAAAGATTAGATCGCATGAGAAATTGTCTAAAAAACTAAATAAAAGCACCTTGTCTGTTGTATTCAATGAAATGTGCATGAAAGAAGAATTGCTTACATATATATATATATATATATATATATATATATATATATATATAATAATAATAATAATAATAAAATAAAAAGAAAGAACAGTAAGATATATAATCCGGTGTTCTTATTGATATTTTTATTTTTATAAAACAGTGCTCAATGTAAATTTACAGAGCATAAATATTATAAATTAACTGATTTAAAATATGGTTTCAAAAACCGAAGCTAAAAATTTCAAATCTAATTATATAATTAAATTAAAAGCATTAGTTCTGTTTCATCTTCAAGCGAATTTTGGAATAACTTTTTTAAATTTACTGAGTTTTAAACGCACATACAATTCATAATTTTTTGTTTTCAAGGATACAGAGAAATCCAATCATTTAGACTGGGGCAGTAGCGTGTTCATTTTTATTAACTATTATTGTATCAATTATGAGTTACGTTCGAAAAAGAGGTTAAGTTTAGGGCGGGTAGGGTTGCATTTTTCAACGAATTTTGCCATTCGTTCAACGCATTTCGTCTGTTTTTTTTTTTTATATTAACAACAAAAATTTTTCGGCATTTTTTTTCCGTTAAATTCGTACTTGTATACTTAAAGATTCTCTCTTCTCTCTCTCTCTCTCTCTCTCTCTCTCTCTCTCTATATATATATATATATATATATATATATATATATATATATATTATTTTTGAATTGTAGATATTTAAAAGTTGTCATGTAAGAAAGATACAACCTCTTATATATATAATAATATTATATTAAGTTACTGCGGTACACATTTTTGGATATTACGTCAAAAGTTACACAAAGTTCACAAGAAATAAATAAAAACCCCAACTTAAGAAGCTTAAGAAGCAAAGAATGTATAAACCAGAAATAGAAAAATCAAAGAAGCTGATGTCGCGAGTATAAGCAAAATAAAAGAAGAGATAAAAGCGACTAAATCCACCATCTTTAAGTAAAAATAACAAAAGGAAACTTAATTATGCGAAGTATCCATGAAAACTGATTTCTTGACAGTAATTCTTAGTAATGAATAAAGAACTACATTGGATGGAACTGATAGTTGAGCTAGAGTTTGAAAATAATCAATCAAAACATATTCAAAAACATATTCATAAACGTATTCAAAATCCCAGTTTTCATTAGCAGCTTGGCATCCTTGACGGTTTCAAGACGTACAAAACGATCATTAAATGCTTGAATAGGTAGTAATTTTTCATTAATTCAGATATGTTGTTCGACCCTCGACTGGATCGTAGCTGGATCAATATACCCGGAGCCTGATACGTAATTATTAGTTTAATGTTGATCTGAAGCTTTCATTGCATCATTAATAAAATAGTAATCACGGAGACTGAAATTTATAGAATAAAATTTTCAGATCAAAATTCTGTGAAGTAAGTGCATCGAAAAGACAAAAAAGTATCGTGAAAAACGAATGATGTTTGTGTAAAATAAATCGACGAATTTAATGATGTCCCTACACATCATGTTCCTTAGCAGTGAGACAATCCCATGAAAATTATTTAATTCGTAATATGCGTGACGTCAATTGCTGAACATTCACTTCAATTATCATCTATATACAAATTAGAATCGCCGGATGGGCCTAAAAAAACTTATATAAAAATACTTAGATGACCTCAGCAAGCTGTTTTCTCTGACAATCTTTTTACTTTCACATCAAACAACATATATATATATATATATATATATATATATATATATATATATATATATATATATATAAGGAAAATAAACGGAAGAGACTCATGATAGCCATAAAAATTGCTAATCGGAAAACACTGTCGCCCATTAACATTAAAGTGGCACAATAATTAACTCCCGACACAATGACGAGTCATACAAATGCAGCTGTGTCTGTTCGGTTCGTTTCAGAAATTTTGGCGCTTTGGTTGTCTGTGACAACACTTAGCAGCAAGAATGACGTCTAAACCAGTCTACAAGTTAAGTTCTCTTCTCAGCGTTTCTACATTAAGCCTTTATTCAGAGTCTAAGAAGTAAACATAATACTTAAAGATGGATACTGCCAATTCGTAATAACCCCCGTACATCTGTGCGCCTGATAATAATAATTTTGGCAAATATGGGCCTTCGTGCCTGCAAAAAGACGATTTTTCACCTGACACTGTTTTTATTTTAACTACCTTCACTCTTCAATGTTTATTATTTTAAAAAGCGATGATTAGAACTGTAATAAAACCGAAACATATGAAAGTGAATTTATAGATTTTTTTCTAATTTACAAAAAAAATATTTAAACACTATTTATTTATTAGATTGTTTATTTACAAAAATAATCTTATATTTACAAGATTCTAAAATCTAATATAATTAAAAGTAGTGCGATGCAATGTTTATCTTTTACCAATTTATAAAGAAATAAATATGAAAATAATTTTTTATTCAGAAATTTATACACATTTACTAAATTATTAAAATATGTGAACCAACTTTAAGAAAATCCTTATTATTTACCATTTTATAAAGTTCGAAAATAGTGCCAATTACACGTGTTGGAGCTAACTTCTCCTTAATTGCCTGTTTAATTTCCCAATTGTCCAAATTGTTCCTAGGGGTCTCTATAAATACTTGAGAATATTTCGTTCTCTCTCTCTTTCTTGCATTTTCAACGGACATTGCGACTATGTAAAGCTCTCGCAGAAGTTACGCGTTTCCCACTTGTGGGAAGACGCCATAAAAATCATGCACCCACATATACACGTACGTACGAACATACTTTGAAACACGAACTCTTTACGTTCACACACACACACGCGCGCGCGCACGCGCGTTAATATTTTGTCTTTTGTAAACCCTTTTTGTTGTTTAATACGTATATCTGTTTGTACATGTATATATCGGTTTCTTGTTTTTCTTTTACATTTCTTTTTGGTAGATTCATTCTACTAGTCTGCTATATTTGTAGTGGACTTTATTTCAGGAGACCACACGTGTTCATTTCACAGCACGTATTAAACTCATGGTCCGCTATACACGATGTTTTGCGACCCATTGCAACAAACAATATAATAAATAAATAGTGTTTCTTTTTTTTTTTTTTTTTTGTCAATTTTAAAGAACGAAGAAAATGTATAAATTCTCTGGTTTAGCTTTTATTACAATCCTAATCATCGTTTTTTAAAACAATAAATATTGTTGATGAGTGAAAAGAGTGTCATGAGAAAAACCTTCCTTTTGAGACTCCGTTTTTTGGCGGACAGGAAGGTCCATGTTCACTATAATTCTTCTTAATGTTCTGTTTTGTTCACTGATGGAGGCAAGTTCATCCCATGAAAGCATGATTTTATTTGATGGGTATTGCTCTCGTAAATGTAACCAGTACTGAAGAACACGCTCCTCTGAACTTCCTGTGTTGTGATGCTGCAAGGGATTTTATTGGTGCATTTTTCCATCCCTGTCTTGACCAGGTTCCGCTTTCTCTTAGTTTCTGTATCTAGGTCTTTATATTTAGAGGGTTTTTTTTAGTCTTTATATTTAGAGGGTTTTTTTTAGTCTTTATATTTAGAGAGTTTTTTTTAGTCTTTATATTTAGAGGGTTTTTATTAGTCTTTATATTTAGAGAGTTTTTTTTAGTCTTTATATTTAGAGAGTTTTTTTTAGTCTTTATATTTAGAGGGTATTTTTTTTAGTCTTTATATTTAGAGAGTTTTTTTTTAGTCTTTATATTTAGAGGGTTTTTTTTAGTCTTTATATTTAGAGAGTTTTTTTTTAGTCTTTATTTTAGAGGGTTTTTTCTAGGTCTTTATATTTAGACAGTTTTTTTGTAGGTCTTTATATTTAGACAGTTTTTTTGTAGGTCTTTATATTTAGAGAGTTTTTTTTCTAGGGTTTTATATTCAGACATTTTTTCTAAGTCTTTCTGTTTAGACATTTTTTCTCTCGAGGTCGTTTCTTTCGCTGATGATAGACATGTTG